AGAAGAAGGAGAAGGAGAAGAAGGAGAAGAAGCAGCCGAGGACGAGGAGAAAGAGGAAGAGGCAGTGTTTTAGGTACAGGTCCAGGAAGGAGGAAGAAGAAGAAGAAGAGGACGAAGACGAAGGAAAGGAAGGAGAGAGCAGCAGTCGAACGGGAGGAGAAAGCGAGAGAGTTGTTTTTCAGGGATAGGTTGTAGGTAGGAAGGCGAGAGGAGGGAGGAAGGAACAGAGAGAGCGGATAAACGCACAGGTTTTTCAGGTAGGTGTAAACCAGAGCCAAACGGGAGAGGGAAATAAAAACGGGCGAAGAACGGCATTCTGGTAGAGCTGGGAGCGACGGCGAGGGAGACACCTGCGAGACTGTGTGGATCCACGCAAGGCGAGGACGAACGTGAGGGAAGAAGACGGAGCTGGCGACGTGTAGATATTAGACGGAATCAATAAAACTATTAAAAAGGTCCGCTGCATATACGAATGCAGGGGGAATCATTTGTACCTTCGTAACACGAAATAAAAGCTATATAGCCGTATCGTTAACTGCATCTCACCGTGTTCCGTTCATCTGTTCACCTGTTATCGGCTACGTGTCATCGCCGTCCCGCCTTAATACACCGGCAGGAGCGAACTCTGGATCCTATTACGGGACACGCGTTGTGAACTAACGTCTGTCGAACCGTAGTCGTCTACCCTAGAGGCACTACAATACAACATAAAGGCACCACGGCAAATACACGGAAAGATAAATCAAAGAGAATATATCGACTCTGCTGTTTGAGAGTGAGACTGTAACTGCATGCCTATAACTAACAGCGATCTGCTATAATGCATAAATGCCCACCACTAAAATCACATATTAGAATATATCCAAGTTGGAATACGCAAACGGGCAAATAAAATAAATGTTTGAGCACACACAAGTGCAGGGATTTAACACCTGCATGATGCTTGTTAGTGTGCGCACGATGAGCAAAGTACACGTCGCAGCAGCAGATAAACAGAAAAACAAAACACCTGCACATGTATGCAAAATAAACACCCTTTCAAAAACTACATTTGCATCACTTGCTCCAGGAATCACAGGATAATACTGTACTTCATGTGTAAACCCGCCCCTCAAAAAGGACGCGACCAATCACAGCATCATGGCACGTTGCCGTGCTCTTCTAGGTAAACCTTTAAATAATGAATATCTCCGGTA